TACCCGCTGGTTTGCGGGGTTCCTCAAGGGGCAGTGTTATCCCCGATGTTATTCAACATCTACATGCTTCCCCTTGCCCAGATTGCCCAGAGGCATAGGCTTGGGTATCACCACTATGCAGATGACACACCCAGCTGTATCTGTTGCTGGGCGGTCAGTCCGAATCTACCCGAGGTGACCTGGAGCGGGCGCTTCAGGATGTGGTGGGTTGGCTTAGGCTGAGCCAATTGAAATTGAATCCAATGAAGACGGAGGTCCTGTGCCTGAGATGGAGTGGCTCGAGGGAGCGATCCCACTACCGACCTTCAATGGGGCGCCATTGGTGCCAGCGCCGAGGGTCAGGAGTCTGGGAGTGCTCCTGGACGCTGCCCTAACAATGGAGGCCCAGGTAGCAGCCACTGTCAAGGCAGCCTTTTACCATCTGCGGCTGATTAGGCAGATGGTTTCCTTCCTCAAATGCAATTACCTGGCAACAGTGATCCACACTATGGTCACCTCGAGGTTAGACTACTGCAATGATCTCTACATGGGGCTGCCCTTGTCCCAAATCCGGAAGCTGCAGCTGGTGCAAAATGCGGTGGCCAGGCTGTTGATGGGTCTCTCCATACGAGACCACATCCAGCCTGTGCTGAAGGCATTGTACTAGCTGCCAATAGCATACCAGATTCGCTTCAAGGTGCTGGTTTTGACATTTAAAGCCCTATATGGTTGGTGGCCTGCCTACCTGAGGGACCGCCCCAGAGAGTACTGAGGTCAGGGTCACAAAATCACCTGACTCTCCCTGGTGTGGAAGATGCCAGATTGGCCATTATGAGGGCTAGGGCTTTTTCAGTGGCGGCTCCACACTGGTGGAATGAGCTCCCGGAAGACATCAGGGCCCTGCGGGACCTTTTACAGTTCCGCAGGGCCTGTAAAACAGAGCTCTTCCACCAGGCCTTCGGTTAGGCGCCGCCACTGACAACCATTGCAAACTGAACATACCCCAGCCCTATGTAACAACGCCGGATATGGCCTCTCTCCAGCGGACCATGTATAGAAATTTCCCGCCATCTGTTTATATTTAGCACTTTATGTAATTGTTCGTATTGAAATTTTATTGTATTTATTGGTTTTATTGTATTTTAACTTGTGTAAGCCACCTTGAGCCAGTTTGCACCGGCAAGGCAGGATACAAATTGAAGGTAAATAAATAAAATAAAATAAATTGTTCTTAAAAGTCTCTAGCCCCTTTTGTTGTGGAGATATTCAGGGAAAGGCATATCTCTGCAATGGAAGGGGCTAGAGATTTGCGTATTTTAATGAAAGCCAGGAAATCTGAAGATTTAGTAGCTAAATCTTTGTAAGATTATAATGAGATGTCACCTGTCAGGTTTTTTTTTAAAAAAAATCCCTCTAGTGGCAGGAGGGGGACACGGCCACAATGGAAGACTGGAGCAGAGAAAATGGCAACAATGTAGGCAGGACTAGGAAATTCTGGGCTTTCTGTCTTCACGAGTGCCACCCAAAACATCGCAGCAAATCAGGTTTGACAAAGATGGGAAAGACTGAGGAGGTGTACAGATGTATCATGATGCAGCAGGAAGGGGGCCTGTTTCCAGTAACATCCAACTTGGGGCAAGCCACCTGTACAGAAAGTTACCCATGTGATACATAGGCTTACAAACATGTGCTTGACTGTAGCATATATTGCATTTCTTGAGATGTCTGTAAAGGATTTAATGTGTACCCATAAAATTGTTACGAGCCAAATGGACATGAAAGCACACCTTTCTAGAAGACGGAGGGTAGAATGAAAAGAATAATGCATTATTCCACCCATGCTAGTGTAATCATTCCCTATTCCCTGCTTTGAGGTTTGTCACTTTATCAGTTTTCCAAAATAATTGATGCTGATTGCTGACTAATCAGTTTGTACTTCTTTTTTGCAGGAGAACTGCAAAGAAAAATTGGCCTGAAGGTACTCGAAATGAGAGGGAATGCGGTGGTTGGCTACTTGCAGTGCTTTGATCTGGAGGGAGAATCTGGACTGGTAGTACGAGCCATAGGAACAGCCTGTACCTTGGATAAATTAAGTAACACACCAGCATTCTTACCCTCATGTAATTCCCCATCCAAAGAAATGAAGGAGTAAGTATGAGTCAGTGTTTCCTGGAAAGAATTTTTCATGTTTTCTCTCTAGACTCAATCAATTTTACATAAAAATTCAGTTATCTCTCCCCCTCCTTTCAGTTCACATTTTGGTTTGTTTCCCCTTTCTTGTTGTTATACTTTTTCAGATTTGATTTGAATTGAAAAATTAGAGGGGCTTGTAATGAACTGTTTGACCCAGTGCTACAGAAATAAACCTTAGTATGACAGATGCCTCTGTGTAGTAAAACCATATGTAACTCTTGCAGCCACTGCACAACGTATTGACGTTGGGATCTGCCTCGTCTAGCTCGCAACTCAAGATGCTGTTCTTTATGGCTGAACTGGCACAAATAGGATGTTGTATCTTCTCATGGGGTTTTTTGTTACAGTGCTTTTAATGTGAATATATCGTACTTTTAACCTTTTATGGAAATAACATTTGTTGTATAGGTCAGCATTTTGATCACGTTCTACCGTAGTATAAGCTAATACTACATTTTTTTTGCCAGTACTGTTCTTTCAGCTGCCTTTTTGTTACTTGACTCTTGTATAGAACAAGCTGTATTATGCTGCCCCCCCTGGCTTGAAACAGTTGGCGAAGGGCCAGCCTTCAGCTCAGGAGAAGTTCACAAAGTTCAAATTCAATTTTTAGCATGAGCAAGTCAAATAAAAATAGTCGCATGCCGGTCCAAAAGCACCTTGTTTGGGAAAGCCAAATTGCCAATGAAAATGAAGCAAGTTACTCTTTGTGTAATGACGTTGCCTGTCTCGTGTAACTCGCAATACATAAAGGGGCTTACACATGCCCCCTTTTTGTAAATAGGGGGATTAGCTAGCAATACTAAGATTGAATTTTCAAGAACGTCTAATTTAGGAACTTCTCTACCAGTGAATGTTGTTCTTACCTATATGTTTGGGAAATAATCTTCTCCCCAGAATGAACAGTGTATTCTCCCTGTCTTTGCACGTTATCGCCACCAGCATTGCTGAATCTGAGGGTTCACTCACGCAGTATATAGCTTAATATATGCTGACCAGCTAACGGAATGATCCCTCCTGCTTAGACACACAGCTAAGCTTGTCACGTTCTCCTTTCATACCGTAGTAAAGATAGCATGATTTGTATGAGCTCTTGCAGGAAGCACTGGGAAAGTTATGCAAGCCAGACTTGCTTGATAGCTAAATTTGGAATGCCAAGCGAAGGCCAGAGGTTGTGCGGTTTACTGTGTGTCTCTCAGGTTACAGTGGCAAAATAATCTTCTACCTAAGTTCACATTGTTTAAGCATATAAATAGATCTAATTAGCCATCAGCTTCTACCAGATCTATTTAGTATCGACGTCAAAGATTTCATTAAGGCAAAAAAGTCTTTGTGGATTTGATGTCTGTAGACGCCACTGGCTGTGTTTGCTTACTTCTGCTTTCAACTTGAGCATGTCTGGATATAGCTGCATCTGTGGTTTCATGCAACCTAACAATGCCGCCCACAATCATTGGCTTCTCTTACTAGCCTGTTTGCGCTCTCCACTAACTGTCTCCTCTCCCCAGTTTTTTGTGGCTTCCCTGGAGGGCTGTTCACATGCCTGATAACCTGCAACTCTGGATGCCGCTCCTATATTTGTTGTCGTTCCACCTCTAGAAGAAAATGGAAACGGGCCCTCTCTTTTGCATGCTAGAATTTTATATATTTTTGGAAGCAAAATCAGCCCACCGAATTCTGTCATGCTGAGTTCAGGTTCAGTGCTTGCAAGACTTAGCAGACGGCTCCTTCCCCCCCCAGTTAATTAACCAATTGCCATAAATATGATTACATTTTAACACTTAGCTGCTACTATTAAGATTTTATCCTGTCTCTTAGAGCAGGGGTGTTAAAACTCGAGTGAGTCGAAGGGACAGCTTCCTCACGTGGCAAATTCTAAGGGGGTTCATCCATAAGTCTTCATCCCAAAAAAGCCAGCTTCGTCTCAGTTTGATGATTGATTTGTCAGACAACACTTTGCGATGGCCATCTGTTGCAAGTGTTTTTGTTCCTGAAGAGTATAGTTGGATAGAAAGAAGACTGTGGAATAGGATCGGTTCTCAAAGGCCACTTTCGAGACCCGCCTGGCTCACCTCTTCAGGGGGTGGAGGGGACCACAAACTTGTTGCAGCTTTGCCTTAAGCACGAGGCGATTTACCTGGCAAAGCAGATCCATTTCAACTGTGGGTCCACTTGTCAGTAAACATGCCAGCCTGCCATTTTGTGGCTCATTGGCCTTGAAAAAGTTTGAACGCTGCAATGTTCATTAGCGGTGCCACGGGCTGTGTTGGGGGAACCCCAAAGGGACCAATAAGGCCCCGGAGCTTTACGTTTGACACCCCTGCTTTATTTAGAGCCTACTTCTCTTTTTTAAAAAAGTTTTCTCCAATAACTAAAAATGACCCTGAAATAATTTTAAAATGTAACTTTGCAATCTCTTGTATGTATTTTTTTTTTCTTTCCCCTCCGCCTTGACTGCAAATTCTCTCAGGTCTCCGCTGGCTCACCCATCAAGCCATGGATGTCGTTCGACTCACAACAGCCCAATTCACACTGCTACTGGCTCACGGCTAACTCAGAACTTCTCTGTGTCAGTTCCCACACTCGTCTACACTGGTACGAGACTGCTCAGACTCGGAAGCTGGGGAGAGGCAGGTCACAGGCGCAGTGGCCACAGAGGGCAGGCAGGCAGGCAGTGTAGGCAGGTACCACTCAGCTTTTCTCACCGAGAGTCCTCCTAGGAAAAACTTATCTCAGGGTTCGTCCGATAAAAGAGAGACTGGAAGGATGGTGTGTATCTTCAGTCTCTCTCTTTTTGTTTGTTTTTCCTTTTCAGTAGTAAAATGAGAAACCCAAGATGCTCATTTGTTTTGTTTGTGTGTGTGTGCGTGCGTGCGTGGGGGGGGGAGTTGCACATCTTGATTGGAAGAAGCATGCATCCGGACAACAGGTAAGGCATCACTGAACATAACATAAAGGTTTGGTAATATAACGGTACCCAGTATGGTTTTCTTCTTTGTTTCTTCTTCTTTGTTTTTTGCTGTGGCACAGCACAGATGCTAAAGGATAAGGAAACATGTTTTTTTTTCCACTCGGAGATATATATGTGTGTGTATATAAATGTGTATGTGTGTGTCTATAAACACACAGATATATAAATTTGCAATCATTGCTCTGTTTTCCTTTTTGATAATCTGGTTCAAGAATTTTATATTCTGACAGGTTTACTCTCCTTTGCCTTTCAGCAATGGATATATATATATTTTAACAGGTTTTACTTCCTTTGCCAGTTTTTCTTGGTTTTGATGCTTCATGCCTTAGCTGTTTTTGTTGTTGTTGCTTTGTGTGCTAATAAATATTTTCCATCTGTCTGTATAGTGTTGAGTTGATGAACCAGCAGAGTTGGTTTATTTTATTTTTGCTTTGGCCTCGTATCCAGCTTCACATTTCCAGACAATTGTTGGCCCCCCCACCCCGGTCCCTCCCCACGTCCTGTTGTTGGATCATGCTGCTGTCAGCCCGGTCCTTTGCCACAGGATCACTGAATCTGTTTCCACCTTCTTCTGGCAGGATTGCATTCAATGAAGATCCCAATCCCAATCCTCATTCATCAGGACCCTCCACCCCTCTGAAAAACCAAATCTATTCCTTTTCACCTTCCAAGTCCTACAGTCGACAGTCCTCTTCTTCTGACACAGATTTGAGTTTGACACCCAAAACGGGTAAGGCGCTTCCACCCACTTTATTTTGATTTGTTTCTTTGTTCCCTTTTGATTTGTGTTTCTACTTTTGCTTTTCACTCCTTTCTCTTTTCTCTTTTTGTTTTGTTTTGTTTTGTTTTGCCGTGTAAATTTAAAATGCCACTGGGAATAGTGGATTTCTCACGGTATAAATAGTGCTTGAAAGCACCTCTTTGCATAACTGTGACGTAACCCATTGTGCCATGTAGTGTAGTGTACAAGACAGTTTCTGCAGACTGACAACTTAACACACCAGAATTAGAGTCCCTCAGAATTGTCTTTTAATTTCCTCCACGTCATATTGCAAATTATGGGGATAAAATGTCACCATAATCTGTTGGGGAAAGAGTTTTGCATGTGTTTTCTAACGGCTAACCTCTAAAAATGTCTCTCTGTACCTGCTTTTCTTGATAACTGACCATCTGTTCACCAAGCTGAGACATTAGAAAGGCTGGTACTGCCCGCTGCGCTGTTTCCAAGCTTTGTAGAACTAGCCTTGCTTTAATGCGGTGTTCGGTTCTTATCACCGTGCTTGGTTTTTTAAATGTCTCAATTGTTTAATTTGCATAATTCCGCTGAGTATGTGTTTGCCTTTTTTGCTGAAACATGTCTTAAGATAGGACAAAGCCAGTGATTATTTTCGTTATGTATATATGGAGTAGATGCATACCATATTGGAAAAAAAACCCCAAAATGCCATCGTTTATTTTCACGCTTCTGTTTTTAGTCTTCCTGCTAATTCAGTTGTTCTCAAACTGGGGTGAGCTCCTCGTGGTAGGGGCCAGTTGAGAGAAGGTTGTGTGCGTGAAGATTTGAGCAGAGGCCAGATCCTGGGGCAGACGATACTTTCCTCCTCTTCCAGCCAAGTCTCAGATGGGCTGAATGCCCTGTAACAGAGGAGCTGCAGTTATTCCTATTGGGTTTCTGGGATGTCTATATCCAGGTGGGGGCTGGAGATCTCCCAGAATCTCACCTGAGCTCCAGACCACTTAGATAGCTTACTCATTTATTATGTATTTATTTAAAACATGTATTCCACTTTCGCCAGAGAAAATGGCTGCTTTAGAAGGTGGACTGTGTGGCATTGTACCCCACTGTGGTCCCTCCCTTTCCTGAAACCCACCCTCCCAGGCTCCACCCTCAAATCTCCAGGTGTTTCCGAACCCGGAGGTAGCCCTCTCTGTATCCTCATATGGTTTCCAAGGAAGAGGGCTCAGTAAAAAGCTGCTGTTTTACAATGATTTCATATGTGCATATGTTCAGAAAAGGTTAGTCATAATGCCATTATTGGATTAGTATCCAATCCACAAATCCTTCCATATAGCAGCAGGCAGCATGCATACAGTTTGGGGCAGGAATCTGCATGTAATTACCTGGGTAAATGATGTGGGGAGAGTTCAGAAAACTTAAGAATTTGCCGAAGTTTGAGAAACACTGTGCAGATTGCATGGCCGTGGCCCTGGGTCTTCATGTAGCGTGCATTCGCTGCTTCGTTCCTTTTTAATTCTATGAGACACTGAAATGCTGCACGATGCCTAATACCTTTAGCTGTGGCCAAATAGTAATGGCTTTAGTCTCCACCCTCTTTCTTTTGTTTCCTGTTCTTAGTTAGTTAATAAGTTAGGGAAAGTATCTTAACCATCTGCCTTTTATTCCCTTGAGGCTATGTGTGTTTAAAAGGGGTATGTCTTTATCTTGCATTAATATTTTTGCCAGATAAAGAGATACGTGCTCTTTTACCTGTTCACGTAAGACTATAGTTAATATCTTGTTTATATACAAATAAATGCCGTCCTTGTCTTTATGAAGGCAGAGAAATGGAAAACAGGTTATTACCAAATTCTTTCGAAGAGTATGTGACTGTTAATATGTATGAAGTACACATGGGAAGTGCAGTGATATTCATGCATAATTACTTCATACATAATGTGGAACAAGATCAATGACTACAAGCCTTCACATAATCTGCCTGTTTATGTTCCACTGAAATCAGTGGGATTTAAGGTTTAAATTTGGGCACAAATTTGGGGTCCATGGGCAGGTTCCAGATGTGAAAACTAGTCCAGTGTAGGGATGCCAGCCTCCAAATGGGACCTGGGGATCCCCCAGAATCAGTTCCCCTGGAGAAAATGGATGCTTTGGAGTGTGGACACTATGACATTGTATCTTGTTGAAGTCCCTGTCCTCCCCAGACTCCAAATCTCCAGACGTTTTCCAACCTGGAGCTGGCAGCTCCCCCCCCCCACCAGTGGTCAGGGGGGCCTGGCAATCCTAGTCCATCGAGCTTGGGGGAGCTCACCCTTTTCAAACACTTGCCCCTCATGCTTCATGCAAAAAACCTGCTTTTGAAGCTAGGGGAGTTTCAGGAGTTGTTTTCTGCTGTGGTGGTTCAAATTAAAAAACAAGATTTTCATGAATAAGCGCAAACTTAATCCAAATTAGCTCTGTGGATCCTAGCGCACATCCTTAAAAACTGGAACACAGGGATGAGGAGGCAGATGCGTTGTCCTTCTAAATTTATCTCCAGTGACGGAGGCAATCAAAATAATTTTGGGATTTGCCTCTAGCAGATTGTAGCTTGGGGATGAGAAGTTCAGCATTAAAGGCTCGGTACAAGGATCTTTCGAGAGTGCTCTGCCGATGCAAGCTTGGTGTCTTAAGTGTGCTATTTTGGACAGGCTGACCAGATAACCTAACCAATAAAAAAAGCATTGCTAGCTATTTTTTCTAAGCCGATGCTTTGGTGATCACCCAAATATATATATATGTGGAGGAAATTGAGAAGATGGGAATCCATCCTTTTTATTTTGGGGCATAAAAAAACCCTTCAGTCTCCTCTTAAAATTTGTCCCATTGGGCACAATAATGGAGCAACAAATGCTTAAGATCAATTTTTTTTAAAAAAATTAAGACTTCAGACCCTCAAAATGTGTATCTGCTCTGAGTAAAGCCCAGTATCCCTGGTTTTTAGATCCCTGGGGAGTTGCCCCCAGGCATATTTAAATTTCGACCAGCAGTTGGCATGTAAACTAACTTAAAGGCCCCTGAACGCTTGATTCCTTTTCATTTTTTGGAAAAAAGGGGCGGTGTTAAATGCTAGTTGAATAATACGCTCATGTTCATTGCAGTGCTGTGTTGTCATCTCATTTACTTTATGTCGGTAATTGCTTATTCATATACCACGAGGCTGCCTGTTTGGTTATCCCCCCCCCCAAAAAAAAAACCCCAAGATTTTGCTTGATTCATCTTACTTTTTTCTCCTTCTGAGTTCTTTTCAGTCACCTCCTGAAGTCTTCATCTTTTCTCTGCTGTTTCCCTCCGCAGCCCTTTCCCCGCAGGGGCCTAGGATCCTCCTGTTTCCCAGCTCCCCCCCACACTCTCTTAAACCGCCCTCTCTCCTTCACTGGGGCTCTAGCCTTAGCCCTCTTCACTCTAGCCACGCCAGCCCAGTTTTGAGGAAAAGCCTTTCTTTCACTGAAGAGCTGCTTCTGGCTGTTTCTGGTAGGATGAATCTTAAAATAGCTTTGATGTTTATATATATTAGTAGTCTCTGCAGTGGCACTCAGCACAGCCGAAAAGCTTTCCGTGGTTCCCTCCCCCCCCCACCTTTTCTGCTCCCAAAACTGCTGGCTACATGACAGTCGCAAAGCTCCGTTGCTAAACTAGGGTTGCCAACCTCCATGTGGGGTCGGGAGATCTCCTGGAATTACCATTGATCTCCAGTCGGCAGAGCCCGTGGCGGAAAAATGGCTGCTTTGGGAGGTGGACTCTCTAGCATTACACCCCGCCCACCCAGGCTCCAGCCCCAAACCTCCAAGAATTTCGAAACCCGGATTTAAGAAGCCCATGCAAAACAGGTCTTTCAGTTTACCTTAATTTTTTTTTAAATTAAAAGTTTGGTTAATATTTAAAGGAAATTCTTTTAATCTTTTTTTAAAAAACAATCCTGATTTTTTCTGTTCCTCAAAACATCTCACTATGTTAGCAACTGGCCTTTTTTTCTTTTTCTTTTAACCATTAGTTCTTTTCCTTTCACTTGTGAATGTTCCTCTGTTTCATTTGGAACAATCCCTTCTTCCTCCACTCATGTTACTCTGTTGAACTCATGTCGCCATCAGCCATATTAGTTAGCTGTATCGTATCTGCAGTTTGAAATGCCACTGTGATTTGTTCCCGGACTGAACATTTGCTTTGCTTGTTTTTTTCTTCCCCCCCACAGATCACTAGATTACCTTGCCAAATACACACCTTGTCGCTGTTTGCTTTGTACGGATTACTGCTTTGGTTGATCTCTTGTTTTAAACTATTATTTTTGGAGGGATATGTTTCATCTCCACTAACAGCATCCATTTCATTTATCTCCCTCTTTTTAGTATTGTATAGCCCCTTGGGAGTTAGGTCTAATTTCAAGAAGTCCAGTTCGACTGGTTCAATAATGCAGAACGGGGACTATACAGATGCTAATATTCTGTTTCCTTATCCAAAAGCAGCTAAAAATATTTCCGTAAATAAGATTCTTGGGCAGTCATAATACCTCTGAGAATGATGAGTGTGTTATAGATTTCAGACCACTGATGCGAGCAGTCTTGTTACTCCTTTGGGCACTTCTAGAAATGTTGAGAAACAGTAGTGGGCACCACCAAAAAATGTATTTTGTGAGGGGGTAGGCTGATGAGAGGTTGTGTTCTGGCCATCTGTTTGGCTATGGCTCTTTGCTTTGGGGAAGAGATGTTGTTTGGTTTCATTTTCCAAGGGAAGAGGACATTGTGTTTCTTCATGCCCACTGGAAGAGGATTCCAAGCCCAGAAAGTTAAGAAAGTTTGTGTCTAGGGTCAGTCCCAAGAGCCCATAGCTACGTCACACCTGTTTGGGATGACCTCAGTGCTTTCCTAGTCCATCAGCTGGTAGGAGCATTCTAAAACGCCGTCTTTCCCCACTGTCCCATTAAAGACCCTTTGGATTTTATCCCTCAGACTCAAGAAAGTAAGCAGGTGCCAGGAGAAACATCAGCTAGTCATATTGGGAATAATTAGCTAATGTAGGTCAAGCCACTTACAAATCCATGGTTCCGTGTGTGTTGGATTGGGTTTGTGAACTTGCAAGTGGTTCCTTTTCAGCCAGTATTTAGGTGTCTGCACAAGATTCGCAGTTTCTAGAAATCTCACTTTTTTAAAATTTATGGATGAGATATATTAGCTAGAACTACCTTACTGTTTTTAAGCAAGTTAACTTATTACAACTGTGGGTCTTCTTAAAGACTTGCTTAGTCTTTTTAAAATAGGCAGTTGCATGGAATGCTAATTTAGTGTCTTCATTAATAGTTTTGCCCTTGGTATTCTTAAGGAGCTGTGGTGGCTCAAGTGGTTAAGACGCTGAACAGCAGGCTGGAACGTCGGTAGTTCAGTAGTTCAAGACCCAAATGCCGCATGACGGAGTGAGCCCCTGTCTCTGGTTCCAGCTCCTGCCAACCTAGCAGTTCGAAAGCAAGAAATTGCAAGTAAATAAATAGGTACCGCTTCGGTGGGAAGGTAACAGCGTTCCGTGCGCCTTGGCGTTTAGTCATGCCGGCCACATCACCACGGAAACGTCTTCGGACAGCGCTGGCTCTTCGGCTTGGAAACGGAAATGAGCACCGCAACCCTAGAGTCGGATTCGACTGGCTTTCGAGCAAGGGAAACCTTTACCTTTACCTTTATTCTTTCTCAGGCACTCCTGTACAAGTCCCATTTATTTTAGTCAGACTTACCCAAAAGCGTTCTAGTGAACTGCATCCTGTGGGAGAGAATATATACATTGCATCTCTGATTTGTCAGAATTGAGATGATTTATGAGTAATGCTGTTCCAGCAGGCGAAGGAAAGACTAGGCAGCACTGAAACCATCTCAGTGATCAAGTAATCTAAGAGAACTGGATTATTTTAGATGAATGACTTAAAAACATTAATGCATCATGTCTAATATTTTGTTACTGTAGACATTGGAAAATTATACTTTACAAAATGTGAGCATTAACTAGTTCACACAGTATAATAGAAATGTTCAGGGGTGTGCCACTAATATACGACAATATCATCAAGATCTGGATCACTCCACTGTTGCGGAGCAAAGATATTTTGAGTACTCCTGGAACCTATTAACTCCTGACAATGGAGGGGAAAGACCAATTGGTTGGATCCGATCCATTGTTCTATCAGTGGAAGGCAACGACAGTGATTGATCTTTCCTATATTCTCCCCTTAGCAGTCCCTTCCAAACCTGGGAAGGCTGATTTCTGGACTCACTGGACCAGTGTGGACTAAAAGCCACGCAGGTTGCAGGGGCTGCAGGTGGAAGGGGGCGAAATCACTTCCTGCCTATTGTGGAAGAGGGACAAAGTGAGATTCTACCCCTACCCCTCCTTGCTGCAGCCATGTGGCGGTTAGTCCATATGAGTTCCATGACCCCATGAATCTGCCTTCCCAGTGCTGGAATGTACAGTTCTGGGGGAGGAGAATGCAGGAAAGATCTATAACCCTTGCATGTAAGGATTGCCGATTCCCACCCAGTATCCCAGTTCCCCTCATTACCTACAGTATGATGAGTACCTTTAATATGATACCCACGGTTCATGAATGTTTTACCGTAATTGATGAGATAAATGTGAAAGGGAGTCAGAGACATGCCTTTGGAATTCTGGCAAAGGTATTATCAGTGACAGAATGATCAAATATTTAAACTTTGTTCCTGTTCAAAGTAAACCCCTTTTATCTTGCTTTATATACTGGTATGCATTTAGTTTAGTGTGAGTTTTAGAGGCCTTTGACAGTGTCAATTAAATACTTAGGGTTGGATCCAAACGGCTTTTTCCATTGGTGAAAAAGGGGAGAGAGGGTTCCCTTGGCCCACCAAAAAGGTTAATGTGGAGATCATAGGTCCTGCACGGACTGAAGGCATGTGGGGCAGAGGCTGTAGTACCATTGGTGAAAAAGGGGAGAGGGGGTTCCCTTGGCCCACCAAAAAGGTTAACGTGGAGATCATGGGTCCTGCACGGGCTGAAGGCATGTGGGGCAGAGGCTGTAGTAAAGGGTTCAGTTAGGCGAAATGGAGTGAAAAAGCTCACTGGCTGGATCCAACCCGTAGATTTTATGACTTCTCACAACTAGAAGAAAGGCTGAAGTGTCATCTCTTTCTCATAGCAAATGCATGACTTCTGTATTAAAGGTAAATGACTTCCGCTTCTGACTTTGTAAATTTAACTCTTTGTAATTATGAGTACATTTGTTCATAGTCCCAACATTTGCCATCTCTCCCCCCCCCCCCCCAAAGAATCAGAATAATGCATCATTTAACTCTTTTATCTGGCTCTTACTTATATGTGAATGTTCTTTAGGAATGGGCAGTGGGAGTGCTGGAAAAGAAGGGGGGCCATTAAAAGCTCTGTTAAGACAACAAACTCAGTCGGCTCTGGAGCAAAGGGTAAGAAAAGCATGATAAACCTCCTTTGTACTTTAAGTGTCTAAAGCCAATCGTAGTAGAAACTTCTCTGTACCAACTGTTCAATGTTTCCCTTTCCACTAAGCAGCTGTTCTTGACCAGCCTTGATTCTGCACCATGGCGGATGTAATCTTTTTCCGCATGAGAGAATTAAAGGGAGATCCAGTTTGAGAACATGTCTGGATTGTACAGACCTCTGTCATGTCCGTGTCTGCTTTGTTTTCCTCAAAATCTGATAATCGCTGTTCAATAACTCTTTTTGATTAAGCACTTTCTAGTCAACAGTGTTTAATTTAGCAGAATTTCAAAAAGCAGACACAGCAATTTGGGGAGTCTACAAGATTTGAACCTAATTGAAATTCTTCATAAATCACTGGTTTCTTCACTAATGGTCAATTTTAACCTGGATTTAGAGGGCTGTGCCCAGTGCTGCATAATTGAAACCATATATACCTGCTCCATTACAAATGTGGACTAGTTCAAAATAATGAATCGTGACATTTAGCTTGTTATAAGTGGATGATTCTCTTTTCATTTCTTGTGTTATCCGTTGCTAAGGGAGGATCGCCTCATAGGTTCTGTAGAACGCGGGTAGGTTCTAAATTGTTGTGTGACATTATTGTTAAAGCCTTCTTTTGTGTTAGTTTTATTTCGAGATCCATTTTCTAGCTTGGGATTTTTCTTTTAGAAATTTGGGGTTCTGTCGGCAACATTTTCTTTGGATGCCTTATTAAAAATGCTCCGTATGCACAATTAAAAGTATTTCTTCTGAGGCCATGTAGCAAGCCCAACTCCTGCTCAGCCAACAATCTGCATGACTGTGCATTTCACTTAACTTTTCATTCCATTCCAAATAGAGTACATAGCTTTATTTTCTAATGTGTTAATTTGAAAGTGAACTAACAGAGATACCTCAAGTTTTACATCATGCCCTTCTCCTAATGGTTTAAACGTCTTGTGGGGACTGATTTCGTTGTTTCGGTGGAAATGCTGTGAAGTTTTTTAAATACATTTTTAAAAGCTTGATGGGAAAACTGTTTTATTAGCTTAATCGATAAAGCTGCTTAAGCCCTGAACCGTCTCTAGAAAATGAGGCAAATCGTTTAAAAGATGAACATAAACTGTATAGTTTCAGTTGTAAAAACAAGCATATCAAACCTTTGCACCAGTATGTGTGTCTGATCACTGTGTGTTAGAGATACGGTTTAAATGACGTCCATTTCCTTTCCCCCCCTGTCAAGTCAAACCCATTCTTAGCTTAGTATGGCAGTCCAAACACAGCTGCCCCATTGGTTTCCTGCATTGGTTTCCGTGGGTTATGCTAAAGCATTTGACTGCATCCCTCAGTGGCACCAGTTCCGCTGACTATGATATGAGAAAGTGACGTGGCTGGGACCAAGAGGCAAAAAGAATGACTGTGGGGGCGGAGATCCCTGCAGCCCAATGTGTACTGTTATTTCTCCACTTATAAAACTGTCTTGTCTGTCTTGTCTCAAACTTGGGTCCTTAACGCGGTGTCCTAGAAGCTGTATTGAAACTCTCAAATGAGGGGGGCATGAAGTAATCTTCGTTCATCAGCACACATATACTAATTGGCATACTACTGTGTGATTGCACAGCCATCTTTCTTTTATGTCCACAATGTTGTTTTTCTGGCAATCACGATTAAAAAGGAACTGAACGGAGACAATTAGGAGAGGTGGCGGAAAGTGCCATCAAGTTGCAGGCGACTTACAGTGACCCTGTAGGCTTTTCAAGACCAGAAACGTTCAGAGGTGGTTTTGCCATTTCCTGCCTCTGTGTCATGACCCTGGACTTTTCTTGGTGGTCTCCCAATCCAAATACTAGCCAGGGCCAACCCTGCTTAGCTTCTGAGATCTGATGAGATCAGGCTAGCCTGGGCCATCCAGGTCAGGGCAGTTAGGAGATAATTGACTGATAATCTGTTCAGGTTTTCTGCAGCTCAAATGCAGTGGCATTTTGTACAAGGGGGTGGGTTTTATGTTTTTCATAGGATCATAGAACGTTAGAGTTGGACGGGACCTTGTAGGTCATCTAGTCCAACCCCCTGCACTCTGCAGGAGCATAGCCGAAAGATAGCCCTAACACATACCCGTAAGGTGGTCGTCCAGCCTCCGCTTGAGAACGTCCAGCGAAGGAGCATCCACCACCTCCCGAGGCGGTCTGTTCCACTGCTCAACCACTGTTACAATTAGGAAGTTTCTCCTGATATTTAGCTGGTAATGACTCCCTTGCAATTTCCACTCATTAGATCTAGTCTTGCAATCCGGAGCAAGAGAGAATAGATCTGCTCCATCTTTTACATGGCAGCCCTTCAAATACTTGAAGACTACAATCATGTCCCCTCTAAGCCTTCTCTTTCCCAGGCTAAACATACCCAACTCTTTCAGCCTTTCCTCATAAGTCTTGGATTCCAACCCTCTCACCATCCTGGTTGCCCTCTTCTGGACACGCTCGAGCTTGTCAACATCCTTCCTAAAATGTGGTGCCCAAAACTGGACACAGTACTCCAGGTGAGGCCTGACCTTAGCAGAATAGAGCGGAACTACCACCTCCTGTGATCTGGACACAAATGATTAAAGATCACAGAAGCTATTAGTCATGACATCTTCTTGGTCAGAAGCAGTTTAAATCTGAGTACCAGATCCAAACAATTTTAAATCCCACAGTGTTACAAGATGGGAGTATATCTAGTTTATTTGGCACCGGAGGCATGCTGGAAGACAGCAGATGCTAAATTACAGTTGGTGGGGAAACAGGGTTTGAAAAAGCATCCTCTGTTCTACTGAGGTTGAGATGGCCCTTGAAAAGTCATGATCGTGTCGTCTGAAAAGTAGTAAGAACTGGAGGAAAGTGGGAAATGGGTGTTTTCGGTTCTGATCTCTTGCCCTTTTTTCTATGAAATTTTAAAACGGAGGGGGAAACAATTTTAGTGCCTTTGTTTAAAGTGACCTTTCTGTAGAAGAAACATTCTGAAACGTTAACCAGTACTGTTCCGTACGTCTTCGTTTAAGGCTTTTTGAGCAATATTTCAAAAGTTTGTGGCTGTTGAACAGCCCCCTCTCCACTCAGTACTGTTTTTCGCATTTACAGAATAATTTTTGATCCTATTGAACTAAGCCCATAGATTACCCAAAATGTAGGCTTTATGGTATTGGATTTAGGGGCATCTTTCACTTGTCTCATGTGTTGTAGGAATCATCACAGGTGGTGATTGTTTTTCTCCTTACGAGATAAGAAACATTATGAAATAAACCACTGCTGCATGACTTCCATTTTTTTTTCTTTTTGCATCAGTGCTGCAGAAATGGCAGATGGAAACCAAACCCCTTCCCCCCCATAAATATGCTCACTTGCTTTCCTATTGGCCTCTGGGGAAGCTGCCTTGGTGTCCTGTTGGCCTGTCCCACCAGCTCCTTCATTCTTATACCCCCACTTTTGACACATCACACCTTGGGAGTTGTAGTTCTCAGCTGGCCTTACAGCAACCATAGCAAAGGGAAGTAGAACTGTAACTCCCAAGTTGGGAGTCCCAGGAGGCCATGGGGCATTAGCAGGGAGTCAGTTAAGCTGTTAATTAGTTAAAGTGTTAAACAAGAAGCAGCTTTGGAACTGAAAGGGGTTTGGGGGAAAGGGAAGGCCTGGACATCTCACTGATTACAATTGATCTCCAGATTACAGAGATCAGTCCCCATGGAGAAAATGGTTATTTTGGAGGGTGAGCTCTATGGCATTATACCTCACTGAAGTCCTTCAACAAACCTGTCCCTCCCCTTAGTATTGCCAACCTTCAGGCAGCACCTGGAGAGTTCCAAGATCAGCTCTTCTGAAGAAAATGGCTGCTTTGGGCAGTGGACTCTGGCATTATACCCTGCCTGAGGTCCCTCCCCACCCCATGCCCTGCCCTCCCCAGGCTCTACCCCTGAAATCTACAGGTATTTCCCAACCCAGAGTTGGCAACCCTGTAACTGGCTAAGGAACTGTTTTCCAGACCCTTGAAACCCAGTAAACATGGTATGTGGCTCTCCTACCATACCACCCATTTGGGGCAGCAAAATGACTTGAGATAGCCCTGCCCTGTAGCTAAGCAGAACTAAATAAATATGGCTCGCCTCCCTCTATCTTCCCCTTTCCTCTGCCGCCCCACCAGCCACAGCCAGGACACTCACCTGGAGCCTCTTTCTAGAGCTTGTTGTATTTCTTCCCACAACGGGACTTACTCCTAGTAAATATATAAATCAAACTGGAGCAAGTGAGAAGGTATGGGAGAGTTTTACCTGGATATCCCCACCCACCCCAAATCCTTGGTAGCTTTGTTCATGATTAACGTGAGTGAAATGGTTTTAAATGGTTAATACTGGACTGTGAGACTTTTGTGGGCTGTCTTCCTGACCTTGGAACCAAGATGGATTCCCTCATTTTCATGGCAAAACCCTACTAAGCAGCTACAGTTACAAGTTTTCCTCTCCTTTCTGCATTTATCTTTACGTCAGTTCTTGGGCTCTGAAAGGATGCCTCTGCCATAGCTGCGTTTCATATTCAGGTCCATTGGGCAGCTGAATCGTTTCTGTGACCTTATCATTCTCTGCCTCCCTCTAGCATCTGTCTTGTTCCCCTTCCTTTGCCCTCTGTGTTCGAGGAGCCAATGTACACAAATGAAATCAAAACTGACAAAGAAATGAAAGACCCTTGGTTTGTTGCAGCAACCCAAGTACTGTCCTGTAATCAACTAGTGGTGGGGTGATTAGTGGACTTATTTAAACAGTTCTTACATTGTCCAAACCTGATTTATTCCACTGTTTGGGATGAGTGAGCCCTGTGTTCAGTAAAAATATTACCCGTCTCTACTATGAGGGATGGAAGCTAAAATAAATAATTTTTTTTGGGGGGGGGTTAATTTGTTGCACTATGTTCTATGAACTGTCTTGAGTGGTTTACATTACACACTTTATTAATTTCATTACTTTTACTAGGGCCACACAATGAGGGACTATCTATCAGGCACCCACGGCGGGTCTTAGTTGTTGTTTATTTCACGGAGGTTCTTTCTTCAGTCCGGTGGAAAACCGTCAGTTATATTTTTGGCTTTCTCATGGAAGCCTTGGTTCCCAGGGTGACATTGAGCCAGTCTCTCTAACCCTAATTGTTAAGGCAAAATGAGGAAGAGAAACATCTGCACCATCCCGAGCCCCAGGGATAAAATTGTAATAAATAAAACCCATAGAATCGTGAGCACCCTGTAGTCACTTACTATAGTGTGTGCCTACAAAAAAGATATCTGGATGGGAAGCAAAGGATGCCGTTCTTCCAAGAGATTGCCTTGACAAGACTGACCCAAATTAATTTACCTTGACAGGTCATTTGCATCAACATTAGTGGATGTTCTTGATGGAACTTGCCACTCTTGCAGCTCGGTTTCAAGACTCGCCAGGCCTGTCTTAATATCACACTCTTTATCATTACAGCAATATTGTATACACATGAAGCTCTGCTCTCTCCCAAGCGCATGCACACACATGTAGACGTGAAGCTGCCTCATACTGAATCAGACCACTAGTCCACCACAGTCAGTGTTTTTTACTAGACCGGCAGCAGCTCTCCATGGTCTTAGGTAGAGGTCTCCCACATCACTTCCTGCCAGACTCTTTACCTGGAGATACTGGGGACTGAACTTGGGACATTCTGCATGCCAAGCAGAGGCCCTACGCTGAACCATGACCAATGTTCCCTCTAAGCTGTGAAGTCCTGTGAGCAAAAATTCTACTTTGTGAGCTACTGGCAATACAGTTGTGAGCAAGTACTTTGGCTGCTGCATCCCTCCTGAGCTAAGATAAAAATGTGTGAGCTGGAGGATAAAAAACAGTGAGCTAGCTCACACTAACTCAGCTTAGAGGGAACAGTGACCATGACCCTTTCCCATAGCTACAAAGTGGTACAGTTAGAAATACGGGCACCAGTGTAGAACATCATGATGCCATTGTGCTATGACTCGATTGAAGTCAAAGGGAAGCTTGACATTGACCTTGTTATGTAAGAGATTAAATATTTTACATGTTTCTTCCCGCTTTTTTTTTGGGGGGGAGCCTTTTCGCACCTATTTACAGCACTTGTCAATCCCATCTGTTAGCATGCTAATGTCTCTAGTTCCTTGACTCTTGGGGTTCCTGTTTCTGCACGGTAATTGGAAGCCACAGCCCAGTTGTGCCAACAAGAACTATACTGTAACCGTCGAGTCCCCTGAAAGCTTACTTTAGAAGTTCTGCTAGCTTCACTGGGACTTGGAGTGCATCGGAGTATGGCCTACATATCAAAATAATAACAAATACAACCTTGAGCTCCATGTAGGAGACGTGAGGTAGAAACACAATAAGTAAGGCTTACTTCTGGGTACACATACTTAAGACCAGGCTCAAGCTCTTAATCTCCCGAGGCGTCACATTTCTTTAAAATATGGTCTTTCCCCCTCTCCCCTTAATGCATTTTACTAGTAAATTCTGTTGGGTTCAGCGGAATCTTCCCTCGATGATTTCAGGATTCTGTACGTCCCTATCTCGGAGCAGCATTATGAGGGGGGAAAGTAGCTTTTTGATTGCTTTTGAGGCATCTGCTCACCCCACAGTGCGGGTCTGTGGATGGCATACATTTTGCTTGCCTTACGGAAGCCCCTTTGCCTAACTCCTTCCGCTTTGCTTGTGTTTGAAAAGATTTTTGCATGCTCATTGGTGATAACCAGGATCAGGCACATAAGGTCATCTGTAATTTCTTTTTTCTTCTTCTTCTCATTGGAACAGGAATTTCCTTTTTTTACTTTGACGGCCTTTCCTCCAGGCTTCCTACTCCATGTCGGCGGGGTTGTCAGCGCCCGCTCTGTGAAGCTCTTAGATCGCATCCACAATCCTGGTACGTTACAAGAATAAAAGGGTCTTTTAACGTTATCTTGAGTTTCTATGTCTATTATGTATTTTTTGGGGGGGGTAAGAGATTGTAAAGGGTCGAGCAATTAAGTTGATGGGGAAGCCTATTAACATTTTTAGTGAGCCATCAAATTGTGTAATTCCAGCATGATAACACTTGAGCCAATTACAAAAATGTAGGCTTATTTATTTTACCTTCTGACAAGATTCCGAAAGTCTAAATCTTGCTAGTGCCTAATCGAGAACTTCCAAATGCAAAATTGTGAAGTTTTGTTTTCCAGCTTCCCTTATGCAATTAGATGTTGGCTATTGGCAGATCCTTCCATAATCTAAGCTGACATTCTCTCTTACTTTGTTTTTGATTTGAGTAAAGTCTCCTAAAACAGTTTAAGGTTATCCTGAGATATTTTCTGGACAGCAGCAGAGGGACACTTGGAAGTGGGAAATCCCCTTTTGCGGGAGGGGGGTTTTGCCACTGGAAGGCTGAAATGACATTATCCAAGAGCGGGGCTCTCAACCCCACAGCTAAGAAGTAGGTGGTCTTTCTAGATAGCCCTATTTCTTCTCACTCTTTACAATTTCTCATTCATCCCTATTTCTCTCCATTTTCTTTCTAGGTTTTAGTTACAGGAGGAAAGGGAGTAGTTTAGACTTGGGTGACGGCATCCCCTCAGCTCTAGGAGAGGAGTCTTGCTTCCCTTACTGGAGAGTTCATTCAGATGCAGCTCTGATTTCCTCTCTAATGGAAGGGAAGGATGGAGCACTCTTCCCCTTTAACAGTTGCCAGCAAGGATAGTGAGCGAGAGCACAGTAGCCCTTCTGTGCTTTCCGAAAGCTCTAGAGACTCCTGACATAAATAGCTGGCGAACAAGTAGATTATTTGCCGCCTTGTTCATTCTCACCCAAAAGACCCCAAATTTGTTACAGTAGAAGTTCTGATGGTGTCCTTTGATTGGGGTATATACTCTTTGGTCAACATACTTAACTATCTTGTTCCTTATGGAAACTTCCAGTCAGAGCTCGGAATCTACTCAGAGGAGCCTCGAAAAGGAATCAGAGGCAGGAAAGGGTTAGCACAAGTAAAGTTGTCACCCCCACCCCCAGTGAGAAGTAAAAAGAGTTCAAGTCTCCTAAGAGCCCTGCTGGATCAGACCAGTGGTCCATCTAGTCCAGCTTCCTGCCTGACACAGTGGCCAGCCAGTTCCTCTGGAAGTCCAACAATAGGGCATAGAGGCCGAGGCCTTCCTCTGACGTTGCCTCCTGGCACTGGGATATAGAAGCTGACTGCCTCTGAATGTGGAGGTTCCCTTTAGTCACCATGGCTACTAGCAACTGATAGACCTGTTGTCCCTGAATCTGTCTACCTCCGGGAGTTGGCAGCTGCAAGATATCCACTACTTTACCAAGGAAGTTCTATTGGGGAAATACTTACCTTGAAACCCTTACATTTAGTAGTATCAGAAAGGTCATCCCCACCACTCTTTTCAGCTAGCACAAAGAGATCTGAAAACTGATTTGTCTCTATCTCAGCAGAAGCTGTCTCACTGCAAAATTCTTGGGTGAGGGGCAATGTTGGAAGATTTGGATCTGTCTGTTATTTCAACAGGCCTCCCCTCAGTTTACTTTGATGACTGAGAGGCTGAAGCAGTTTATGATCCTAATCTTAAAGAAGTTAAAATGAGTATCAGCAAAAAACAAAAAAATTCCAACCACTCCAGTTATGCCTGGTTCATTGTTTTAGATATTCTTAATCCATTTTCTTTTGCTTTTTCTCACTGAAGTCTTGTATTTAGAGGTTGTTCCAAATTAGGCAGGGAGAGCCTCCCCCTGTGGATAATTTCTAACTTCCTGTCTCTCACTTCTTGAGAAGGGGGACTTCCTGCTTCCAGAATGGATAGCTTCTAACTTCCTGTTCTGATAGGATTGCCAGCTGTAATTCGAGGGCTCCATTCCGCCACTGGCTGGCGGGGAAAGCTCCACCCCCAAATAGCCCTCTCCCACGGCATATGGTACTCATGCAGGTCCCCCCCCCAGTTTAATGTAGACCTCTCCCCTCTTAACACGTGGTCAGCATTCTTCGCATCTCCCGCACCCCCAGTTTGATGCTTTAAAGCTTGACAGTAACCACAAAAGTGATGATACCATGCTGTATAGCAATCAAAACAGTATTTCTCTTTCATGTCTTTCTGAATCCTGCATTATACAAAAAGGCGCATGAAAGAGAGATGACGCGCAGCATGATGAGCGGCATGAAAGAGAGATGATGACTCTGCTGGAGCATTTTTAGATCTAGCTTCTGCAGGATACATCTCTTTAAACCGCAGAATGTTTGATAAGAAAGCAAGGGGGAAGGTGATGATAGAGAGGGTTGTCAGCCTCCAAGTGGTGGCTGGAGATCTCCTGGAATTACATCTGATCTCCAGGACACACAAATCAGTTCAGCTGGTGAAAATGGCCCCTTTGGAGGGTGGACTCTGTGTCATCATACCTTGCTGGGGTCCCTTCCTGGGGTCCCTTCCCTCCCCAAAGCCCACTGTCCTCAGGCTCCACCCCCAAAACCAGGCTCCCCCCCCAAAACCGACAGACCCCCCCCCCAATGGACAGTTGTTTGGGCCCCTACAAGGTTTTTATATGTTTTTGAAATAAACACGTGTACTTTTGTCTATACCTATTGATGTTTTTAACTTTTGGCCCTATACTAGTTGATGTCTTTAACTTTTGGCCCTGTACTAGTTTTCTAAACTTCCTTTGGAAGTTTCCACCCGCACAGTCTCCAGGTATTTCCCAACCCAGGGCTGGCAACCCTAATTAGAGGTGCTTATGTAGATAATACATTAATGTACATTATTTGAAAAATGTTGTCCTTGTGCCTTTCTTTTTTTCAAATATAAAACAAAACAGAAATTCTGAGTCTTTCTTGCTATCTCCTAAGCATGTCTAAAAAGAAATATATTGTGATGGCTTTTCCAGTAATATTGAACTCTAAAGTATTACCCTTTAGGGTAAATTCATTAACTGCCAGGTGAATAAATAGGGAAACACAGCAAAAAAAAAGTCTGACGTATGGAACTGGTAATTGCTTGAATTACTTTTTTTTTAATTTGATGACTAGAACTAGATTAATACAGCATGCTCCTTGCTTTCTTCCTTCTTTTTCTGTTTCAACCTCATATTAACTTTGCTGTCTGTGTCTTTCCAGTTCCTGTGGAATGGTGTATTCAGTTGTGTTCTTGTCAGTAGTGTGTTTGTTTGTTTTTCTTTCACTGTTCTGCTGCTGTAACTGATCTACTAATTTGCTGTTTTGAACTCAGCCTTTGTCGGAATTATGGGTAACACAAGATCATACAAACTGCTAGACTGGAATAGTTTCAATTCAGGTATTTTATTAGTCATTCAGTACTACATACGCTGACAGAAATTATGGCAGCTCAGTGAAGTCTTTTTAGAAATGCCGTAGCTCATTAAGGAGTTCAATATTTCAAATTTAATCAATGATTTGCAACCATGAAAAAAATTAAAGATGTTTTATTTTCATAACAGCAAATAATATTATTAAATTAAATTTACTTAAGCCCCTTGAGAATGTCTCCCCCCCCATTCCCAGCGCACTCAGATCATCAAAAAAGGTCAGCTGCAGTTCCATTTTCAGATTGTCATCTAGTAAAAGCAGGGTCTTCTCTGTGGTGGCCTCCGTATTATGGAATGTCCTCTCCACTTAGCTACATCCATTTTAATTATTTGAAGTAAAGACCTTTTTGTTTCACTAGGCATTTGGGGACCAAGGGAGGTTTGAGTGGCATCTATTTCTTGTTGTTCTTAGCTTTTTGTGGGAATATTTAATGTGTGTTTGTTATTTGAATGTGTTTTAAAATGATTTTCATATTGTTAACTGTCATCAGGGCTGTTTATACTAAAGTGTAAATGAAGTAAATAAGTACAATTGTAACAGTGTGTTGGTTTTTAAAGGCACTATTTAAAATGAAAACCCCTGTAGGCAAGCTGTTTTGCAATAATACCTCAAGGGAAATGGTAATAAAAATTAAATGTATTTCTTCAGTTTCAGACATTTGTAAAGACCAGGGAAACTGAAGTGGGCAAAGGCCATCTTTTGTGGGATGCAGTAGCCCATTTTTACTTCAAGCCACATGGCATCTCTGGGGCCAGTTCATATAAAAAAGTTGTGTTCAAATAAAGGAAAACAAAACTACTATTGACTTTATCTCTGCTCTTCTGTTGAATAGCTTACTCCCAGCTGTGCAGAAATGCTATGGAAGCTTCTGCGCAATGGATTTATTTCATTAGAGCTTTAAGTCGGCTGCAGATGGCAGAAGGATCGGTTTGGTGTAGTGGTTAAGTGCGGGGACTCTAATCTGGGAGAACCGGGTTTGATTCCCCACTCCTCCACTTGTACCTGCTGGATGACCTTGAGCAAGCCATAGTTCCATCAGAGCTGTTCTTGAAAACAGCAGTTTCTGTCAGCGCTCTCTCAGCAGCACCTACCCCACAGGCAATGTTCACTCTAAGCTGTGGAGTCTTGTGAGCAAAAATTCTACTTTGTGAGCTACTGGCATTAAAGTTGTGAGCGAGCAATTTGGCTACTGTATAAATTAGTTTGCTCCAGAGCCATCCTTCCTGAGCTAAGACAAAAAAGTGTGAGCTGGAGGTTAAAAAAACTGTGAGCTAGCTCACACTAACTCAGCTTAGAGGGAACATTGCTCACAGGGTGTCTGTTGTGGGGAGGGGAAGGGAAAGGAGTTTGTGAGCCGCTCTGAGACACCTTTGGGTAGTGAAGGGCGGGGTATAAATCCAATCTCTTCTCTTCTCCTCTTCTAAACATCCAATTTTGCTAACAGTTTTTCCTATACAGTTCACTTGAATTGGTCCCAGAGAAACAGATTTCTCTTGGAGTAAGTGTAAATAGAATAGATTGTCTTGTGTGGTTTGTTTTTCTGTTGCCGTGTGTGATGGATGACGATGATTGAAAAG